AACATTTTGAAAGGCCGTCACATGAGAGCCCTGTTCAAACGCCTCAGATCTAGTATGGGTCTGAGCCCGCCGTCTTTTTTTGGAATTAGAAAATAGCGGCTGTAAAACCCCGAATACATTAGCGCGGGAGGAGGGACTGACTCTATCGCTCCTTTTGCTAATAATTCCTGAACTTCGGTGCGAAGCACGTGATTCACGCCGCTTCTCACCGATGTCTCGATAACCGCCTGGAATTTCGGGGGTCTGCGAGCGAATTGGAGCGAGTAGCCTCGCTTTATAGTGTTTATGACCCAACTCGACACACCAGGGATGGCTTGCCAGGCCATCACTCGTGTGGCTAGGGCGTGACACACTGAATGGGGGGGACCGCCTAACTTAGGGGGACCTGATACCCTTATAATGTGATTTGTGCACATACTGAGTGTTTGACTGACTGTATAGGCTTTTGCCCGGGGGGAAGTCAGTGTTACAACAGGGCGGGGGCCGCCTAGTGAAGGGGGACCGTGAACCCGTGTGTTGTGATTGTGAAACATGCTCTTTTTGTGCTTTATTTGGGTCGCCGTGAAAACGGCGTTTGTTTGCAGAGACGCGCTCACTGCTGCGGGCCTGTTTACAATAATAAAATCCCCAGCCGCCTGAACTGAACAGGGAGCTGTGGGAAGTTTTGCTGGTTTCTTCGAGGGTGGTCCGGCAAGCGCGAGACACGAGCCCTCTCTCTTTCCCCTCCGTGCTAGGACGACTTCGGAGGCGCCTGGTCGGCCACGGCGCTGGGTCGAGGGCCTTGATGCCTGGGGAGCGGGTAAGTTAGCGCTTCGCGGGCCTTGACTGGCGCTGGCTATCAGCCGCAGGGCGGGGCTGAGAGGCCTGTTTCGCCGGCTTGGCTGGATGAGGCGAAGGCGGCGGCTTGGGCTTGCTGGACGCGGTGATTTCGGTGAGGTTAAGCCACAGATGGCGCTCGAGCACGACCAAACTAGCCATATTTCTGCCGATGGCCTGTGCTGTAGACTTAGTAGCACGCAGCGCTAAGTCCGTAGCACTCCTCAGGTCCCGAAAGGTCTCCGGGTCCGGGCCAGCCTCGTCCATGGACCGGAGGAGTTTGGCCTGGTAGACCTGCAACACGGCCATCGTGTGCAGGGCCGATGCAGCCTGACCGGAGGCGGCGTACGCGCGTCCAGCGAGGGCTGAAGTGTTACGGCAGGGTTTGTTGGGATGAGCGGCTCTAGCTCGCCAGCTAGCTGCAGTGTTCGGGCAAAGATAAGCTGCCACGGCCTCTTCGAGGGGCGGCAAAGACTCATAACCCTTTTCCGCTGCGCCATCCACGGAGGAGAGCGTCGCGGAAACTGCGGATCCCACACGTGCTGAGTATGGAGCGCGCCAGGCCTTGGTTAGCTCCTCGTGGACCTCGGGGAAAAATGGCGCCGGTTTGTGACGCGGGGCCTGCTGGCGCCCCTCCAGAAACCATCCATCCAGCCGACTACGAGGCGGCTCCTCGGGCGAGGCCCACTCGAGCTCGAGGTCCGCGACGGCCTTCGTCAGGATCCGAAGCATTTCGGCGTCGGAGTTCGTCCTGGTCGCTAATCCACTGGCCACCGATTGAGAAGCGGTGACGGGGTCGAGAGAGCCCGGCCACTCGCCCTCAGAAGCGGCGATGGAAAGGCTGTCGTCGCGCTCGAGAGATCCGCCAAAGGAGACGAGGCCCGCCATGTGTGGGGTGGGGGGGGGGCGCTGGTCTCCTGCGAACAGGACCGGTTATGGCGTTTGAGTCGGAGAAAGTGAAGCACGCGGGGACGCGGCCGGCGTGCGTTCACAAATCTCCATACCCTCCGGTTGCCGTTGGCTGCGACGCTTCTTCTTCCTCGGAATGGAAAGCGTGGTTGAAGCGGCCTCGCCGTCCCGGGAGAGAGCTAGCCGATTGCGCAGCACGGAGATAGGCATGCAGTCGCAGGCCTCACATCCGCCGGCAGAGAGAGCATTCTCTGCGTGGTCGACACCCAGGCAGGAAATGCAGCTCGTGTGCTGGTCTGCCTCGTGCAGACGGCCTCCGCACGTGGCGCAGGATGAACGAGGCATACTGAAAAGAATACAAAATAATAATACAAAGGATATAGGATGTCACCGGATAGCCACAGGTGAGACGGCGTCAGGAGACAATCGATGTGCAGGCGAAGTCTGCTGAAGAGAATCTCGCTCAGGCTGAAAGGCTTTTTCGATGGCGAATACACAGTAAAAAGCTCAGGGACATGTGTACTGTCGCTGAAGGAGTAAAATCTGCTATAATGGCGAATTCGGGGGTCTATATAGGCTGGGCCACGCCCCCTCGACGGGCTCTGACGTTGGGCTAGCTCATTGGTCGTGCGTCAGATTCGCCCGCGCCATTGGATGTGCAGTTGCTGCAGCACAGCCTATGAGCGTGTCAGACGCTCAGTGTGCTAGCTGTGCAGCTGCAAATGCGTTTTACATATAGGCTTCAGTAAATCGAGGAAAAGGAGTTTCCCCACTGCGTATAGCTACGCAATACGAAGTGACCGTTCGAAAGGGAACTGTTAAACCCTTTACCCTCATCCACTGTTCCCTACATTAGTTTACTATATAGCCTACTCAACGAGTGAATGAAAACATGTGACCAAATTCAGACATTGAGTGTCATTATTGGCTTACACCTGCTGTTAACAAGAAGTACTGAAGGAAAGAGAAACAACAATTACAACTGACTTCCAGCCACAGCCTTAGATGAAATCAACTGAAGATAAAAAAAGACAACATTGCAGCTTCCCTGATTAACAACATTCTTCTTGAACGGCTAGCATGTATGGTAGGTGTCAAGGGTATTACAATGGTTTGCTTCCTACCTCGAAAAAATAACTTTTTCTGTAAATTTAGGAAATTGTTCTTCATTATCTGCACCTGTTTTGTTTGGTGTACCCCAGGGATCCATCTTGGGACCTTTATTGTTTTCCCTTTATATGCTCCCCTTGGCCTTAATTTTTCAGAAGTACAGCTGAAATGTGATCTCATAAGAATACGAGTGTATTTTTACGCAAAGTGTAGTTCTACCACACGTACATTTACTTACGTTTTATACACACAGAAAAGTATAATACTAATGTTTTTACAGCACTAAAACGTACAATTTTACGTATTATATTTAAAATATTTAAAACTGAGGTTTTAATTCTGGGTTGTCCTGAAAATTCCTCTCCTGCTCTGAAAGCCCAGTTAGGTCCTCTCTCAACAAATGTACACAAACAAGTTTAAAACCTAGGATTGATCTTTGACCCTTCACTATTTTTTGATATACAAATTAGTTCTGTTATTAGAGGAAGCTTTTTCCATTTAAGATCTATTGCAAAGTTGAAGGACCTTCTTTCAAGCAAAGATTTAGAAGTTGCGATTCATGCATTTGTAACATCCCAATTAGATTATTGCAACTCTCTTTATTCTGGTCTCCCTCAATCTTCTCGATTGCAGGTTGTTCAAAATGCCGGCTGCAAGATTTTTGACTGGGTCTAAAAAGAGGGATCATATTTCTACTGTTTTAGCATCCATTCACTGGCTTCCCATTAAATTCAGAGTTGATTTTAAGATTCTTATGTTTGTATATAAGGTGTTGTCTGGCTGTGCACCAAGGTATATTAGTGATCTTGTTGTGCCATACTGTCCTGCTAGGGCACTTACATCTTCCAATAACTTGCTCTTAAATGTGTTACGGTGTCGCTACAAATCAAAGGGTGATTGGGCCTTTTCTTTGGAAAAGTTTTGGAATGGTCTCCCTTATCATGTGAGGTCTGCTCCTTCATTGGACATTTTTAAATCTACTCTTAAAACGTATTTTTATTTTTTAGCTTTTGGAAACATGTAATTGTTGTTTTTATAGTGTAGACCTGTTTTGTACTACGTAGCACTTTGGTTCAATCTATATTGTGTTTAAATGTGCTTTATAAATAAATAAATAAATGTTGTTGTTGTATTTATTTCATATGTCTGCAAAAGTTATTATTGACAATTAGCAGAGGTTAGCTCCCTCCTACTTTCACTCGCTCCTACAAGTCTATGTCCCTACCAGAAGCCTACGATCAGTCAATGAGACAGCCAAAAAATCCCTCTCTAGAACATTCTCATTCACGGTTCCATGCTGGTGGAATGATCTCCCCACCGTCATCCGGAATGCAGAATCCCTGACAACTGAAAACTCAGCTCTTCCATGAGCACTTAACCTGATAAAAAATAAATAAAAAAACTCTTTCCTTTTCCCTTAATCCTCCCTTGTCTGGCTTATGCTACTCTGAGAAATGCCTGCACTTTGTATTCTGAGCACTTCTTGCGTCGTTTTTGCCTCTTCACAATGACTTGCTTTAATTTAGTCCTAATTTGTAAGTCGCTTTGGATAAAAGCTGAATGACTAAATGTAAATGTAAATAAGTTCACATAAACAATATACTCACATTACTAACACAGTATAAATATTAGTTTTCGAACTTAAATGGTTTGAGGCAGTGAAATTACTGTTTGAAAGTAATGTATAGACTGTAATTTACAGTGTAGAGCAATACACAAACCAATTCATTAAAATTAGTTTCTGTGGTTATGGGTTTATATCAATAGCCTATGTAAAAATAAGTTTCTAAGAAGATTTACTCCTACCCCCTCATCTTCAAGTCTATTGGGAGAAGTGATGATCCATGAAAGTCCCAAGCGCAAGAGAATGATCTACTATAAATATGTCTGATTAGTGGTATAATAATGAGATTCTGGCAGCTTTGGAGAAGGTAGAGTATAAAACATGTGCTCCGTCTGTTTATTTAAAAAAAAAATATATAGATTTACTGCAGAGACTAAACAATTTTATTATTATAATATTATTGTCAAAGAACATTTAAGACTGTTTATTTATTAATGTATTGTGATTGGGAATTAAAGCATTATTTTAATACTCTCTGTTATGGTGTGCATTTTATAACAGTTCTTCATTACAGGTCTCAAAAATCCAGACAACAGCTGTTATGACCTCCAATCAGTCAAACTCCTCTGCAAATGTCACCTTTGTTCGACCTGCAACATTTTTCATTAGTGACTTTTCTAATATTCCACATGCAAAATACTACTATGTGTTTTTGTCTTTGGTGTATGCTGTGACTGTTTTAGGGAATTCATTTATCATGTGTATTATTTATTCGGCCCGGAGACTTCACACAGCCAAATACATTGCTGTTTTCCATCTGGCCCTTTCTGATCTGTGTGGAAGCTCGGCTTTGATTCCAAAACTCATAGACATGTTTTTATTTGACCACCAGGAGATTTCATATGAATCGTGCTTAACAAATATGTTTTTTGTGTATCATTTCATGAATCTGCAATCTTTGACACTACTTGCTTTGGCTTATGACAGACTGGTTGCTATTTGTTTTCCTCTACAGTATTATGCCATTGTAACCAAAACAGCCATGTTTCTGATCATAGGGGTTATGTGGATAGTGTCTGTAACAATTTTTTCTGTACTTGTAGGTTTAGTGAATACAATCTCCTTTTGTCGGTCTAATGTACTAAATAGTTATTTTTGTGACTATGCCCCAATCTGCAGACTAGCTTGTAATGATATTACGATAAATATTTTGATGGGTAAAATTTCCTATGGTCTCCTGATTTGCACACCGCTGATACTGATCGTCATTTCATATTTATGCATTTCTCTGGCTTTGCTTAAGATTTCTCATGGTTCTGAACGGATCAAAGCCATAAAAACATGCACTTCACATCTCATATTGGTGGCAATGTTTTATCTCCCTGTTATGAGCAATAATATTGCAGCTGTAACAACACCTTTGCATCCAAATGTTCAAATAATTAACAATTCCCTGACACAGGCGATACCATCTATGCTGAATCCCATCATATACACTCTAAAGACAGAGGAGGTCATGCAATCCATAAAAGAACTGTACAAACGAAGCAAGGTGAACACTACTAGAAAAAGAGAAATGAAATGCAGTAGGATAAATTAAGTATACTTACAGGATCTGATCAGTGTGTGAATTGCATTTTGCCTTCCACAATATTGGTGTTAGTTGACTTTTATTACCTGCCTGAAAGAAAGATTTACTTGAACGTTGACTAGAAATCTTTAACTAGTTTCATCAGCTGTGATCAATTTAAAAAATATCTAATTTAACAGAGTTGATTGATTCTGTATGTAGATGTTGTAAGTAACAGAAATTGTGTCATAAGTAGGCCAAATATATTTAAAGCCTCAGTCTGGGCTGAAACCTAAATTTGCTTTGTGATTGATTCCTTTATGTATTACACTGTAAAAATAATTTCAGTCTAAAAATAAAGCTTTAAAAATATTTATATTTATTTTATTCAGTGATTTTAAGTTTAACAATAAGTCAAATGAAAACACTTGCTTTCAATTTCATAAATGTTTAAAAAAAATCTTCTGCCTAATGTGTGTTATGCTTATGAACAGATATCTTGGAAAAAAGATACACTTCAAGTGTCCTATGAGATTGTAAAAGATAGTATGAGATCAGCGAAGTCAAGGCAGCAAAAGTGCAATACTTTTCTGACTTAATTAATAAACACTCTCATAATCTGAAAATTTAGTACAATAAACTCTGTACTGAATCCTTTGACACCCAGACCTATTTACCCAGACCCCACACCTAAAGCTTGTGACAATTTTATTTTTTTAAATTGCGGGCAAGATTAAGACAATAAGAGCTGGTACCGATTCTGATCCTTAGTCTCTAGAATTTTCTTCTTGTTCTACATATTTTTCTAATTTTAAACTTCTCTCCCATAACAAGCAGCCATATCACCCTGTAGCCCAAGACTGGTTGCCCACTGAAGCTAAGCAGGGCTGAGCCTGGGTTGGGTTTCCCAAAAGCATCGTAAGCTTAAGTTGATCGTAGAACAATTGCCACCAATGGTCTCTACGATCAACTTAGGCTTACGATGCTTTTGGGAAACGCAGCCCTGGTTAGTACCTGGATGGGAGACCTCCTGAGAAAACCAGGTTGCTGTTGGAAGAGGTGTTAGTGAGGCCAGCAGGGGGTGCTCACCCTGTGGTCTGTGTGGGTCCTAACGCCCCAGTATAGTGACGGGGACACTATACTGTCAAAGAGCACCGTCCTTCGGATGAGACGTTAAACCGAGGCCCTGACTCTCTGTGGTCATTAAAAATCCCATGGCACTTCTCGTAAAGAGTAGGGGTGTAACCCCGGTGCCCTGGCCACATTCCACCCATTGACCCTTGCCAATCATGGCCTCCTAATAATCCCCATCCACTGAATTGGCTCTATCACTCTCTCTCCTCTCCAACTATAGCTGGTGTGTGGTGAGCGCACTGGCGCCGTTGTACTGTGGCTGCAGTCGCATCATCCAAGTGGATGCTGCACACTGGTGCTGGTTGAGGAGAGAACCCCTGATATGATTGTAAAGCGCTTTGGGTGTACAGTAGTACATATGAAAGTGCGATATAAATGCCTCATTCATTCAACAATCTTTTAGATATAGTTCAACAGCTGAGAGCTACTACTTGTTCATTTGACTTTATTCCTTCTCGACTTCTTCTCCAGGTTCTGGATGTTGTGGGCCCAAGAATTTTGGGTATCATAAATAGTAGCTTAGCTAATGGTATAGTTCCATAGTCTAAAGCATGCTATTATACATCCTCTCCTTAAAAAGCCTAAACTTGATCCTTTAGTTTTAAGTAATTATCGCCCAATTGCAAAGTTGCCTTTTTTTATCAAAAAATTTGGAGAAGGCTGTCTATCATCAGTTGTCCATTTTTAAATATAAATTCTATTTTTGATAAATTTCAGTCAGGTTTTAGGACTAAACACAGTACGGAGTCTGCCCTTCTAAAAGTGAACAATGATTTATTGCTTGCTGTTGACTCGGGAAAGTGTCTTGTTCTCGTTCTCCTCAATCTCACAGCAGCATTTGACACTTTTGAACATGAAATTCTGTTAGAGCTTTTGTGTCAGTGGGTAGGGATCCAGGGAATTGCCCTCAAATGGTTTTCTTCTTATTTAAAGGACAGAAGCTCTGTAGTACAATTGGGTGGTTATTTATCAGATTTTGTAACCAGTATGTTTGGGGTTCCACAGGGATCAATTTTGGGGCCTATATTGTTTTCTTTGTACATGTTACCACTCTGCATTATTTGTCAACATTATAATGTTGCGTATCATTGTTATGCAGATGATACTCAACTTTATATTCCATTGAAGGCAGATGATGGCACAGCATTAGATTCTTTGATGAATTGCTTGAGAAAAATTAAACTATGGATGGCACATAAGTTTTTACAACTTGATGAAGCTAAAACAGAATGCCTTTTTGGCTCAATTAGGTCACCCACACACATATTTGATTGTTTAGGCTCTCTCGCATCTAATGTACATGAAGCAAGGAATCTGGGAGTTATCTTTGATTCAGAGTTTAAATTTGATAAGCAAGTAAATTCGGTGGTGAAGGCTGGCGTCTTTCATTTAAGGCGCATTGCTAAAATTAAACTCTTTTTGTCTTTTATTGATTTGAAGCAGGTTATAGGTGTTCATATTTTCAAGGTTGGATTATTGTAATTCATTGTATCTGGGGTTTCCTTGTGTTCTGTTGAATCGCCTTCAACTCTTACAAAATGCGGCAACTAGGCTATTGACTGGGACCAAGAAGCAAGTTACTGTTTCCCAGTAGCCTACTAGCTTCACTGCAGTGGCTCCCAGTTAATTTCAGGATCCAGTTTAAAGTTTTACTGTTTGTTTTTAAGGCCTTGCATGGCCTAGCTCCTGAATATATTTCAGAACTTCAGGTTTATCAGACGACAAGGCTGACTGTTGAGGTCATCTCAAACATCACTTTTAAAGATCCCTAAATCTCGTCTGAAGTCCAAAGGGGATCGTGGCTTTTCAGTTGCTGCACACCACCTCTGGAATAACCTGCCTTCGGATATTAGATGTTGTACTAAATTGAGTGTTTTTAAATCACAGTTGAGGGCACATTTGCTGTGTTTAATGTTTCTTTTTATATTTGTGCTGTTGGAATATTGTTTTAATGAAAAGCACTTTGGCCAACTCATGTTGTTTTTAAATGTGCTATATAAATAAACTAAACAAACAAAATCTTAAACTTCCTGAAACTATTGCTTGAATGAACAGTCTTGAATACATAATGTATGCATGTTATTCAATTAACAAACATCAAACATATATTAGGCCTTGTTTATTTATCAAAAGTAATACAGTAAATAACTACAAACAATTACAAAACCCCATCACACAGTCCACAGTATACTACCAAATAGCAGCATTCTGCATCTATAAACCCACACAGTGAACAACACAATGGCATACACAGACATTCCACCATGCAAAAACTCATTTCAGGGAGGTAGTTAATATAATATAATATAATATAATATAATATAATATAATATAATATAATATAATATAATATAATATAATATAATAAAATATAATATAATATAATATAATATAATATAATATAATATAATATAATATAATTCACTTTGAGTTTTGCCTCGTCATTAGAGTAGCTCCTTAAAGTGGCTATATGAATTTTCATGTATTAATCACTCCTTTTTATAGCCAATGTGTGAACAGCTTGTAACGAAACTTAAAAAACTAGACCTTTCCTGACTTATTAGGTATGAAGGCCCGTAGACTGGTTTTCATGTGAAGGACTCGGGATGTTTTCCCCGGGAAAATCAAAAGGATGTGTCGTTTATGCGTGCTACCGAGAACCTCTCTTCCATTCAATGAAACATGAAATGAATGCTTATATAATGCAGAAAGAGCTATTCTGTAGTGTAATGTCAATGTGTCATGCAAAGAAAAGGGATTAATATAAACTATAGTTTCACATAGCTATATAGTCTATTGTTTTTAATTAATTTTAATTACCTCATCTGTCAACATGATGACAGTGAATAGGAGAGCTGGTGCAAACATATCTACATCACTATGATCATATGCTGTCTTAACTGCTGCTTTCTCACCGCTGTCATTTTTGCAGTGTTTATTTTGTTATTGAGAGGAAAGCATGCAGCACATATTTATATATCTAAACTTTGCCCTCAATGTGGACCGTGTCGGGATGTTTGTTAACAGTATATAGCTGCAGGTCGTAATGGTACACAATTCTACAACAGCAACTAACCACCCTACCCCACACTCTAAAAGGCAGCTTTCGGTAGACCTTTAAGCACTCCCACTATTCCGACCTGCAGATACTGTACCATTTGCCTTTAACAGACAGACAGCTCAAAAAATGGGACATAACCAAATTGCCACCAACATGAGATGTGCCACACGAGTCCTGAAAAGTGAAGCCAAAGCATCTCGATCGCCCCCAGGTATTTGGATGCAGAATAGGTCATAAACCCCGCCCTCTTCATTTATTGTAATGGCTGTGAGACAAACTAAACAATCAAATTACACTTCAAATATTTTTTCCCAAAGATGGTTTCTGTCATTTTATGCAGTTTTAATCACGCTGATGTTAGTTCAAGTGTTCCTTCTTTAAATAAGTTTGATTTAAGTCATGTTTGATTGACAGCTGATATTGACAGCTACTCTGAGTGAAGTAGTCACTGAGGCGCCAACTGTTTATTTTACATCTGCATAATCAACTGTATTCCGCTGTAAACTGTACTAACAGGTTCTGCGGGAGTGTGGACAGGGCCTTGATATCGCAGCCCCACTTCGCGCTCACTACTGAGCAGACTCGAGACTCAAGATGACAGAAACATAACAACAACATATTGGGACACTGGCAGCTTCACTTACTACAATTAAAGAGAGTGAAGGTGCGTCGTCCATCTTTTTTTACAATCTATGACACACACACACACACACACACACACACACACACACACACACACACACACACACACACACACACACACACACACACACACACACACACACACACACACACACACACACACACACACACACACACACACACACACACACACACACACACAAATACTTTGATACTTGAAAAAGAAAAGAAAAGGTGTTTTAATCTAGACTTGCATTGATTTTCTTCTCAAGTCTACAGGGAAGCGTTGCTCCATCAACTAAAGTCCCAAGATCAAGACAATGATCTTCTATAAATATGTCTGATTAGTGGTAGAATAATAACATTCTGGCAGCTTAGTAGAAGGTAGTGTATGAACCAAATGTTTCTTCTCTTTTTTCTCTAAAGCATTTACAGCATTAACTGTTTTATTATTAATTCAAAATGAATATATCAAAGAACAACCAAATATCTTTGTTCATTAATGCACTGTGACTGGAAATTAAATCATTATTTGAATATTCTCTGTTATTGTGTGCATTTTTATAACAGTTCTTCATCACAGGTGACACAAAAAGCCAGACAACAGCTTTCATGACCTCCATTCAGTCAAACTCCTCTGCAAATGAGACCTTTGTTCGCCCTGCAACATTTTTCATCAAAGGCTTTTCTAATGTTCCACATGCAAAATACTACTATGTGTTTTTGTCTTTTGTGTATGTTGTGACTGTTTTAGGGAATTCATTTATCATGTGTATCATTTATTTGGCCCGCAGACTTCACACAGCCAAATACATTGCTGTTTTCCATCTGGCCCTTTCTGATCTGTGTGGAAGCTCGGCTTTGATTCCAAAAGTAATTGACACATTTTTATTCAAGCACCAGGAGATTTCATATGAAGCGTGTTTTGCAAATATGTTTTTCGTATATCATTTCATGAATCTGCAGTCTTTGACACTACTTGTCTTGGCTAAAGACAGACTGGTTGCTATTTGTTTTCCTCTACGGTATCATGCCATTGTAACCAAAACAGCCATGTTTCTGATCATAAGTGTTATTTGGATTTCTTCTGTGACATTTTTTTCTGTACTTGTAGGTTCTGTGAATAGACTCTCTTTTTGCGGATCTAATGTGATCAATAGTCATTTTTGTGATCAAGGCCTTGTCTATAAATTAGCTTGTAATGATAATTCTATAAATATTATGATGGGAAAAATTAGCTTTGGTCTCCTAATGTGCACACCACTGATACTGATAATTATTTCATATTTATGCATTGCTCTGGCTTTGCTTAAGATTGCTCATGGTGCTGAAAGGATCAAAGCCATGAAAACCTGCACCTCACATTTCATATTGGTGGCAATAAGTTATATCCCACTTATAAGCAATAATATTGCAGCTGTAACAATACCTATCCATCCAAACACCCGGTTAATTAACAATTCCCTGACGCAGACAATACCACCTATGCTGAATCCCATCATATACACTCTAAAGACAGAGGAGGTCATGCAATCCATAAAAGAACTATACAAACGAAGTAAGGTGAACACTACAAAAAGAATAAAATGTACTAGGGGAAATTCAAAAAAAAAAATTACAGGTTTAAACCTAATCAGATGATCATTTAACAAAAAATTTATTTAACAGAGTTGATTGATTTTGTAAGTTTGATGTTGTAACAGAAACTGTGTAAACTGTGTAAACAGGCCAAATATGTTTAAAACCTCAGGGTTGAAACTGCTTTGTGATTGCTTCCTTTGTTTGAAAACAACATAGGCCTATATACAATTTCAGTAAAGATTCTAAATGAGAACGCCTTGAAAATAGTATACACATTTTCATCCACTGATTTAAGCTTAAAAATAAGTCAAATGAAAGAACAATTTTTCATTACATTTGCTTTAAATATTAAAGATGATTTAGAAATTCTTCTGCATCATGTTCCTGATGAACAAACATATTCACACTCCAAAATATATTGATGTCTTGAATGAATCATTAGCTGGCATTTGTTTGAGCTATGATGACTGTGAACCACAAACAGTTTCCGAATTAAATATCCAGGGATGGACTCTAAACCCACATAGTAAACAACACAATAACGTACCAGATGGAAAGACATTATTTTAGGACTGCAACAACTAATTGATAATAAAAAGTCTTGATTAATCTGGTCTGTGAGCTGTGCATGATGAAAGTCTGAGTAACATTAATTTACAGCAGTTACAGTTTCTATGGTGTAAGACTTGGTTTTCTGCTAAGACAAAAGCTGAGATTAAACCCCCTGCAATAAAACAATAAAACTCACTAATATCTAGAGAGAAGATCTCAAAGAAAAAGCATAGGACATCACCTTGACCAAACTTCTCTCCAAGCTTATGCATCCTCCCTCTACCGACTCCCTCCCCTTTCCCCCTGATTCAAGTCAATGAGAGTTCACTAAGAATGTCTATATACCACATATGGTGTATCTTATGAATCTATTGTTTTTTCCCTTTCATGTTTGGTATCACATTAAATGTCTTAGTACGATTGATAATCCTCGTGTGAAAAAGGATTTATTCTATATGTGCACTAGTTCAGGTGGGTGCGTGTTCACACTGGTTTGTCAGTCAGGACACCTGAGGCAGGACTCAGTTTCCAGAATTGAATGAAATTATTCAGAAATGACAGCACAGTCAGACCACAAGGCATTTATTGCTCAAAAGTCTCATATAGTAGACATTTATATAGATGTGGTCTGTAAATAACAAAGATAACAATGAGTAGACAGTAAGAACAATAACTTTTCACAATTGACAAGACACAATCATATTCTCAAACTTAAATATATAACATGTACTGAAATAAACATTGTTGTAGTACTATGAAGTGCCACTAGGTGGCGCATGAAGCGCACGGAATGAAAGTAGGTGAACTGTCATTATTTGCTGTCATTAAAGGGATACTCTACTGGTTTTTCATATTAAACGTCTCGGTTACGGATGTAACCCTCGTTCCCTGAGTAGGGAACGGAGACGTTACGTCGGATGACGGAGAATGGGGGTTTCGCCAGAAAGCCAATCCTCTTCGAGTATAAAAAAACGAGCCAATGGCAAAGAAATGGCCTCACCGCGTGAGTATTTAAGGAGAGACACCTGCAACAGCAGATCATGTCTTCGCTGAGGAGCCGAGACTGAACTCAGGCGTCTACCCAGCGGTACAGCGGAAGTGGCAGGGAGACGTAACGTCTCCGTTCCCTACTCAGGGAACGAGGGTTACATCCGTAACCGAGACGTTCCCTTTCGTAGTCACTCCGAGTTACGTCGGATGACGGAGAATGGGGGTCCCAGTGTAATCACGCCACCTTCACAGCTGTCTTCCAGTGCCCTGCGAGGTCTGACCTCCCTGTCGTGATATAGGCACGGACGAAGGAGTCCTACTTAACACAGGAATACCAAGGTACACTGGGAAGCATATCTCAGGGGAGATATGTCGCAGCATGCCTACCCGTAGGGAGGACTTAAGAATACACATATGGCCCGAGGGAGCTACATATGGAGGAACACTGGAGTGACCAGCCCGTGGGGTGGCATCACTTTCAACTCCAGGAGTGGCAAGGTGGCTTGCCGAGGGAAAGACACATGCTCAAAGAGGCTTACAGTGGAAATACACATGTGGGGGTTGCTCGGAGGAGGAACCATGCACACGGAGGCACCTAGCCGACGCACAGGCAATAGACACTGGCGCCAGCGTCAACAGTGCTGGAGGAACTCAGGGCTTCAGAGAGGAAGGCTACCTGAGGAAATATCGCACGTATCCAGTCCGTGGAGTGGAGTGGCGAGCAAGCGATTCCCGTGTTAGCTTGAAAAAGACAGTACACGGGAGGAGACTGGCTCCACTCAGAGATTGTAAAATCTGGCGAATGTGTTAGGTGTCGCCCAGCCTGCAGCTCTGCAGATGTCTGTCAGCGAGGCGCCACGCGCTAAAGCCCAAGAGGACGCCACACTCCGGGTGGAGTGGGCGGTCACACCAAGGGGGCATGGTCGACCTTGCTGCTGGTATGCCAAAGCAATGGCGTCCACTATCCAGTGAGACAACCTTTGTTTGGAGAGAGCCTTTCCCTTCAGCTTCCCACCATAACAGACAAAGAGCTGGTCTGAGGTCCTGAAACACTGCGTCCTGTCTACGTAAGCACGGAGTGCGCGTACTGGACAGAGCAGTGCCAAGGCTGGGTCTGCCTCCTCCCGGGGCAGCGCTTGCAGGTTCACCACCTGGTCCCGAAAGGGAGTGGTGGGAACCTTGGGCACATATCCAGGCCGGGGTCTCAGGATCACGTGAGAGTGACCGGGCCCGAACTCCAGGCACGCTTCGTCAACGGAGAATGCGTGCAGGTCCCCTACCCTCTTGATGGAGGCCAACGCAACCAGGAGCGCTGTCTTCATTGACAGGATCTTAAGCTCAGCTGATTGCAGAGGCTCAAAGGGAGCCCTCTGCAGGGCATTTAAGACCACTGAGAGGTCCCAAGAGGGAACGAGAGGAGGGCGAGGAGGATTCAATCTCCTCGCTCCTCTCAGGAACCTGATGATCAGGTCGTGCTTTCCAAGAGACTTACCTTCAACTACTTCGTGATAAGCGGCGATAGCGGCCACATACACCTTCAGAACCGAAGAAACGGTCTGTGTCGAGGTAAAATGGAGACATGAAAGTAGGCGTCCTTCAGGTCTATCGCTGCAAACCAATCCTGTGGCCGCACGCATTCGAAAATGCGTTTGGCCGTGAGCATCTTGAACGGCAGCCTGTGAAGGGAGCGGTTCAAGACGCGCAAATCCAGGATTGGCCGTAACCCACCGGTTTTCTTGGGGACAATGAAGTAGGGGCTGTAGAACCCTGACCTCATCTCGGCTGGAGGGACAGCCTCGATTGCACCCTTCGCCAGCAGGGTAGCAACCTCCGCTCTCATGACCGGGGCATTGCCACCGACCATAGTAAAGCGAACTCCCCTGAAGCGGGGAGGAGACCGTGCGAACTGAATCGCATAGCCGAGCCTGATAGTTCGGGCGACCCAACGGGACAGATTGGGGAGCTCTAACCAAGCCCCCAAAAACTGATCCAGCGGAACCATCCGAGCCACAGGCGTCCCCCCGGAGGGGCAGCGAAGCGGAGTGACCGGCACAGGCGAGGGTGGCATAGCGGCCCTGAGCGTGTGCACAGCCAAACTCCGCGCCCTGACAGAGGAGACCAGGGAAGGACCAGCGTACCACGGGGGTCTGCTCTGCCAGGGGTCTGGCAATAGAGGGGGATGAGAGTGGTGTGGTCCGGGGACGGCACGCACTGTCATCCTCGCCCTCAGAGACAGAGGAGGACGAAAGTGGCGAGGCACGGGGGCGTCGCGCACTGTCATCCGGCTCTGTGTGCTCAGTGATGGACATTTCGGTTCTTTCTTTAACCACATTAGGGTGCTGCCCACCCGTGGGTGAGCAGCGGGGAGAGGAGAACAAAAGATTCTCCCCCGGCCCTCCACCGGGGGAAGGAGGGGGCCTGCAACCGCCTCCTGGGAAAAAACCGACACCATCACTGAGCAGCCCGTCTCAGGAGCGCCGCTTGGCCTGGCGTTTAGCGGGGCGCGGGGCCTGAGGGGGCTGGGGCGCCTTCCTGCGGCTTCCTCCACGACGCGGCCCGGGTGAAGGCTGCTGCTGGGGCCGTGCGGGAGGGGCGGGAGCCGCAGGAGGGCGCCCTCGGCGGTGAGCAGGCTGAGGCGTCTGTGCCGACGGCTGGGTGGAGGCAGCAGCTGGCCGTCGGGGCAGAATATGTTTAATCGCCTCAGACTGCTTCTGTGCGGTTGAAAACTGCTGGGCGAAGTCTTCAACCGCTCCGCCGAAGAGGCCGGCCTGGGATATGGGGGCGTCGAGCAGACGAGTCCGCTCAACGTCCCGCATATCGGTCAGGTTCAGCCAAAGGTGACGCTCCTGGACCACGTTAGTGGCCATCACCTGACCCAGGGAGCGTGAGGCCACTTTCGTCGCCCGGAGAGCGAGGTCAGTGGCGGCACGCAGTTCGTCGAACGTCCCTGGGTCAGTCCTGCCCTCGTGCATGTCTCTGAGCAGCTGGGCCTGGTAGACCTGCAAGGTGCTCATAGCATGCAAAGCAGCAGCCGCCTGTCCTGCAGCTCTGTGAGACCTCGCCACCATAGATGACGAGAATCTACAGGCCTTGGACGGGTACTTAGGATTACCACGAGAGGTGGCGCTCTGAGGACACAGTTGCATCGCAACAGAGCGCTCCACCGGGGGAATCCCAGTGTACCCATGGACAGCTGCGCCATCGAGGGGAGGAAAGGCGGAGAAAGCTGATGAGCGTTCACGGGAGGTCAAAGGAGCCTTCCATGATCTCGACAGCTCCTCATGCAGCTCCGGGAAGAAAGGAATTGGGGTTGGCTGAGGCCGTGAGGCGGCAGCCGCACCCAAAAACCAATCGTCCAGCCGCGAGCACTCGGGGCAGGGCGGAGGGTTCCACTCGAGCCCGATGCTCACGGCTGCCCGGGACAGCATGGCTGTCATCTCAGGATCCGACACGGGCAACGCTGGGACTCCCGAAGGAGGCAACAGCTAATAAGCGCACTCTTCACTGCGTGAAGTCAG